CGGGCTTTTTGTTGTTTACACTACCAGTAGCTGTAAATTTAAATACAAGTTCCCTTAAATATTTCCTACAAATAGCACGATTTGGGAAACGATCATTAAAAATCCTTTCGGTCTCGTGAAAGTTACGCGTCGCACCATAAATAAAAATCGCTTCGATTTTTTCTTCCAATGGACGAGAATTGACCAATTTAAAAATAGTTCAAACAGTATCTAGCACTAAAACCGAAAACTAAATAAGAATATTTTAACACTACAATGATGTTTGTTTTCGTACTGATATTCTTGTCACTGTCAACAAAAAATAACAAAACAAGTTTTTATCGCTGTTGCTGTGGACACGGCAGGGAATTACATACATACTACCATTTTGTAGTAGGTAAAAGTATTCACTTTATATTCTAGGGTTATAAAGTACTCATCAGGAGCATCAAATAATTTCTTTCCAATATGGCGCCCAGCGGCTATCTTGACATTTTCATCTGTCAATTTTACTCTAAAATATGGTATCCACGCATCAATTTCATTACCTGTTTTAATTTTTTGAATTGATCCGTTCAAAAAATCAAAGGGGAGGGGGACATTAAAGAAAAGCACTATATATATGCAGGGTGTCCGAAAAGTTGGGGTTTTCCTTTACACGACGTGTAGATCTTGAAAACATAAGCAATTTTTCTTAGTACCATATACACCAATGTCTTAAGGGAACCGAGATAAAGGGCTCTGCAACATCAAAAATATCTGAATACCGTCCTGTAGCCGCGACCCGCGATATCTCAGACTGGTACCGGCTACTAGCTGAACCCGACGACAGAACTGGGTCGGGGGTCGGGGTCAGTGTGTCAGGTCAGTCTGCAACCTTCAACCGACGGTAAAGGGTCACGCGTATAGAGGTAACGAACCCGTATAATCGATTGCGTTTCAAAAAAAAAAAAATAATAATGGCACACTCATACACCAATAATGAACTCGTTGATATGTTGTTAATTTATGGCGAATGTCTTCAAAATGATACAGAATCGTCGCGAGTGTATGCAGATCGTTTCCCTAGACGACATCATCCAAGGCCCCGTAGATTTGTGTATCAGAGAGTAAGGGATACGGGCCATTTGGAGGAATTTCGAGGTGGGCGCAGTGGGAGGCCTAGACAACCACGAATTGTGCAAGTTGAGGAAGAACTACTGAATCGCGTAGACGAGAATCCCTCAACAAGCACTAGAGACGTGGCTAGAGAAGTGCAAGTATCAAAAACTAAAGTGTGGCAAACGTCCAACGTGTACAAGCCCTTCAACCTGACGATTTTCCAGCAAGAGTGCGGTTTTGTGAGTGGTTGTTGCATCAACATGACAATAATCCGGACTTTTTGAAGTGCATATTGGTGACAGACGAATCTACGTTCACGCGTAAAGGGGTGAATAACTTTCGATTTCAGGCAGAGACGTACTTAGCCCTTCTCGTCAACTGGAGAGTGAGTACTTTTTCCTTTATTTTTTTACTTGGTCGCCCTCGTTTCACTACACATTACCTTTGTTATTTCAAGGGTAGTTGTTTCTGAAAAGGAAAACCCCAACTTTGCGGACACCCTGTATATATATATATATATATATATTTCCTAATTTTTTGCGATTACAAATTTTACTCACCAGTAGACATGGGAAGTAACCATTAAAATAAGATATTATGTCGTTCGGTCCTCTATCATCTTCAGAACACACTTGATTTCACTTCCGTATTGCGGTTGACTCAACATTTGAGACCTGAGAGAGTATTAAAGAGATCAACAGGACAGTCTTGAAGCCAGATAACAAGCAAAATACTTGCTATGAATATGGGTAAGCTCCCGTATTAGCGCGGAAAGTTATTAACTGCCACCTTCTCTTGCCAAAGCTGACACGTTGCTGTTCCACTTCAACTGATTAGCTTCTTTTCTTCTTTTTTTGAGTAACCAGACCTGACAGACAGACCGACGAGACCTGTAACTAAGAGCAAAGATCCACTGGACCGGTCTGACCAACAACGACGTTTTGTAGTACGTCCCGACTCACGTTGGCGGAACAATTATGACAGGTTTCTGAAAATATTAGGTGGGAGTAAAGACCCTTTTGCTTCATGAAGCAACTAACATACGTACTCAGTTGTCTAGGAGCCTAAAGCATCTCTCTATGAGACCAAAACACCATGGGAAAGCGCACACAAATTGTGGCGACTAGGCTAGCTCGGCTTGAAGATACCATATTTTAATTTGTAGAAAATTTGAATAATGTGCACACGAAACGAATGCCTTATTTCGTCAGAATGGTATTGCATAATTTTTGTTTTGTGATAATGTAATTAATACAATCCTAATAATGGAAGTGTAGTAGTACAAGAACATGAGATGTGTTGAAGGTTCTTTATCATGTTGTGTGGAACCAATGTTAATACATATGACAGTTTGGTTATGGTGCGATATCTGCATCAAGCTTCATATTTCTCTTTTTATCAGTAACACAGGAACTTTGGAGAACTTGGAAATTTGAACAGCCAGGTAGACATATACATAACAACTGTTATCTGAAGTACCTAACAACAAATCTTATACCCCTCTAAGTTGATGTAGAAGAAATATCTCAACAAGCAACTTCCAACTATTTAAGTGAATCAGTCTTAAATATTCGATTAACTATTGATATGTTTCTTATCCAAGAAATTTTAGGTATTTTTATCCAGATTACCTTTTTCCAATCTCAAGTTTTGTTTTTTGAGTTCTCCTTATTTTGTGATTACTTAGACTTAGACTATAAAATAATTTTAGTTGCACTTTATATGTCGCGCAAACACAAACAATTGTGTAACTTGTGCATTTTATTTAGTCAGAGTGAGACTTCCAAATGTTAGTCGCTACATTAGCGTAAATTTCTCACAGCCCATAAAGGGGTAGCTGATTTTGCTCTGTTTTAACTACAAGATCATCAAATTGTTTCAGTAAAAACGCAAAAACAACGTTGACACTGATTTTTAATAAGGCGTGTTACATATCTAGTTATTGTAGTTAACAATATATATTTATAACTTTTGGTTTCATATAAATGCGCATTATTTGTCCTTTGCCTCAGGGCGCGCAAAACTCCGAAGCAGAAGACAATGCTAAAATATATTCTGTCCAAGGTTGCCACGGAGACATCTTAAAATCAGGAGTACTCATGGGATAAAAGAAGTATCTACCTCTGTTAATACAATGAAGGTCCAAGAGATGATTTGTTCTGTGGCTATCTCAATGATAGGATTTACCAATCAATCGGTATTTCTTCGTACAGGAATTGAACATTTGCAGGTAGGCTGGTGAGGCAGTTGAAGAACTTTGATATAGACTGCATTTGAACTATGGTATTATTGGGGTGTAGATAGAACTGTTATGAGATCAGGGTGTAGCTCTCAGGATACTATTTATTGACTTTCGGCACGGAAAACAATCGGTTTCAACAAAAATTGGATTCTCTCGGATTACTGTTGCAATCTTACAACGCTTTTTTGCAACCAATCCGCTATGGTTTAATATCTCAGGCCTAATTGGCAACCAAAAGCCAAGCATTTGCATACGCGTGCCTCCGCGTGAATATTCATAAAGGAAATCGAAAACATTCGCAACAGCCGAAATCGCTGGTGGTTCCTATTATCACCGCTCATTAAGCCATGTATAGGGATACACTGGACGTGCAACAATTTGTGAAGAAAGCATCGCGCTGGCCATGACGCGTTTAAAAAATACTCACGGAGCAGTCTTATTTTTTCGAAGTTTACGGGGCCGCATTTTAATTGCTTTATTAAAAGTTATCAAACAGTTTATCAAAAAAGTTCTTAGTGACTGTAATCTCAAATCGTATTATTTCAGATGATGTAATATATACCGTTGTACGAGCTTTGCATGAATATTGTGGGTGCAACGATTGGTATTGTATTCTAAAATCTGTGGCTTGAAGACAATATCAATTATTGAAACTGATCTTGTCTCTCTGATCTAGCGTACCTTTCTTGACATTGTCACTCTTACCTATAAAATATTAACTACACTTATCTTTATAAAACGTTTGCAGCTCGCCGTAGTATAACGGATTTTAACTTCAGATTGATGATGCAAGTGAATAGTTGAAAACTCGGTATATAGTATGAAAAAACAAGTCAAACAGCTTCATTAGTTGGCAGATTGATTCAGTTTATTCTTTCATCTCTTTATATTTTGCTTTTCATCCATTCATTGAATTTAATTTCATTGTATCTTATTTTTCTTTCAAATATTATATTCTTCCTAGTTACTGGTAAGTATTGCAATTGGGAATTGGAGTAGCTTGAGTGGAATAGATTTATCAAGACTCCGCCTATAAGGAATAAGATGTGATTATTGTTATTATTATGAAAAGAAAAGTAAAATAGGCCGAATTTGAATTTGAAATAGACACTCTGAGTTCTTTTTCTATATTTAGCTGCGATCTATATTTGGTCTTCAAAGCAGCTACCGCCGAAAATCCTGTTTCGCAAAGGTAAGATGTTGAAAATGGTAGTTGTATACGAAACGCTCTGGTTTGCAGTGCCGAAAACTCATCGTTCATGCCTGCCCAAAATTCAAAGAGGGATTTATTATTAAACTGTTCTTTGATTTCGGCGTTTGCCGTCAACTGTATGAAGATTTCTTCTTCGGCCATTGAGAGCCCTTCGAGAGTAATTTGAAACGGATTCCTAGCCTAGTCGTAACTAAGTATTAATTTGTCGTCGGCAAGAAAATATTTTTTTAAATTCTTTGTCAGCATCGCTAAATGGTTTTCAATGGTTATGAAAACAACGTTCATGTTGCTCTTCAACCTTGTAAGTTTTAATACATTAATCCACATTTGCAAACATTTCCAGGTTTTTTTTGCTTTAAATTTCTGCTCCACAATTCCAGTTTTTTACAAAAAGCGTTAACTTTATCACTCGTATCCAATATATGTGTATTTGTTTCTTGGAGCTGAAGGTTCAAGATATTTAGTTTACTCGAATATGTCGACCAAGTAGCTCAATTTCATCAGAAATAAACCATCTCGAAACATGTCGGCTAGAAAAACGGCGATTTCATGTTTCAATTCAAAAACACGTTGTAAACATTTCCCACGTGATAACCATCTTGCCTCGCAATAGAATAGTAATGCTAAATGTACTGCACCCATATCTTTACAAAGTGCAGAAAAGATTCTAGTTTTCAGAGGTCTCATTTTTATGTAATTAACTACCGTTGCAACTGTAGTTAGCACGATATTCAGGCCAGGAGACGTTTCTTTGGAAGTCTCTCTGTGACTCATGCAATGTGTCCAGATGCACAGTGCAGATTTTTGTTTTACAAGGGCTTGTATACTTTCGAATCTTCCGGACATTGAACGAGCTCCATCGGTGCATATTCCGACGCAATTCTTCCAATCTATGTTTCCCTCGATTATATAATCATTTAAGATAGCAAATAGTGCGAGAGCTGTTGCTTTGAGTTCTATAGGTTTGCAGAAAAGGAGTTCTTCACTACTGATATGCCATCACAAAATCGAAAGTAGGCAATAAGATGATCATCTTTATTGCTGTCCGTTGTCTCATCAAGCTGAATTGAAAACAACTTGTCTCGCAACTTCCCGAGTAAGCTGATGCTGTACATCTTCAGCTGTATCATCAGTTCGACGGTATCATTTGATAGAGGTATCGACTCCAATTTTTTGGCAAAATTATCTCCTAACATAGTTTCTACAATTTTAATTGCAGCTGACAAAATAAGCTATTAGCCCATAGTATGAGGCTTCTTACGTCTGGCTATTCCATATGAAACTGTATAAGAGGCAAGTAAAGCTTTTTCATTCACAGTCAACGTTTTTTTTTAAATGATTTTTGCTGTTCGTATTATTTTAATTTATATATAAAATATAAATATATATTTTAATACCGTGAACTACAGTTAAGACGCAAATTACAACAGACCAGAATTGAGGAGATGCGGCGTGTATACACGTTCGCGCAGATGGCCGAAAATGTTCGGAATAACACGCGAAGAGAGGCATTGATTCCGGATTTGCCAATGCAGCAGATCTGCGTTACCAAATATCTATAAATTTACTTATTCTCGGTAAGTTGTAGGATTTGTAATTAAGGTTGTACTGTAAGCTTAGAGTACAAAAACTCAAGGTACAGTTATTGTATGGTGAGGGGGGGCGGTGAAAATAATTATTGAAAATCGACGAATGGTGAAAGGTTGAGAAACGCTGGGGTAGGCAACTAGTTGGTCCGCAAACCGTATGCCCTACCTAGATGGAGGGAACCGAGGCTGACCGCTTTCTGCATTCTTCCGGCTAAGATGCTTGCCGATGCTCGGCATACCGGTATGGACTTAATTGCAGAGAGCAGTGTACTCCATACCAAGGAACCAATGACCACAGTTTGGTCTGGCAAAAGCCTTCGAAGCTCGATAAGGATCTCCTAATATTTGGTTCGCCTTATTATTATTACTTCGGCTGTCACAATCGACAGGTTGTCACATTCACGATGCTTTGAATACCTGGAACTATACAATGGAGTTACGATCTTGGAAAATGGCACCAAATTTCACACAACCGGTACAGGAATAAAGAAACCATTTAATTTCAGAACTATTGGTTAGTGACTGAAATATCTGCGGTAAATCTGTTTTATAGTATGGCATGGCTCTGCTCATTAGGGATCTCTAAGTAACAATAAAAATAAAACCATTGTCTTTTGCAAATCATACAATTTATTTACATAAACTCTATATACAAGATATCTTACCACTCAAGGGCGTATCCAGGATTAAATGTAGCCTTCCTAAAGAAATAGTGATACAGGAACTAGCGGAAATATAGTTTGTTTTCAAGTGGACAGCCGCACCTTACCACTTCCGGGAAACGTCCTTGATAACACTATCACAATCTCATACATCTATTAGTAAATGATTTGATTATGGTGAGCATTAAAGTTATCATTATTTTCAGCGACCATTCCTCCATTGATGAGCTTTTGCAAATTGCTGACTTGTGGTACATACTGTTGCTGGTTGCTGACCTGTTGGAAATACTGCTGCTGGTTACTGACTTGTTGAGCATTCTGTTGATTACTGGTATCCCTCTTCAAATCATTTGGTAAGTCCATGTCATCCTCGATATCACCAAAGGTGTCTTGCTCATTGTCATCTGATTCCTTGAAGCTGCTGCGTTCTGGGAATAGAAAGCCTAAGAATCTGTTGCTACCTTCGTCCACGGTGCTGGGGATGGACTCGTACAACCAACCTGAAAAACGTTAAGCAAGAGTGAAGTTGATATAAAATGAATATGCCTCCATATGACTATGTTAAATACTAACAGACCAAGCTACATAGGAATGGTAAGAGGGATAGGTACATATGTACATAAAAAACTTTTTTAGATATTATTTTGCATTGTCTCGCAGTAGTCTAATTACCGCGAAAAAAGACTAAAAACGAAGTTGCCTTTTTTAACGATCTAAATGTATGTCAGCATGTTTATGATGTACGAGTATGTCATCCAAATTATATGAAACTACCTACAAATGCTGATATAGATCCGACAAAATTGGTTAAAGTTGAAAATACGCTGAGCTGTATTGATGATACATTTTTGCGTAACGGCCAGCTTGATGAAGAGGCTGAAGAAGCAAAAAATAAGGCTTTAAATTTTTCCGAAAGCACAGAACTGGAAGAAATCCAGCGTATTACACCAATGAAGATTTATTCAGCTATCTTGTTTCATCAACTGATCCAGATATATCTTGTCTTAAGGAGGAGCATGACAAAAGCAAAATGAAACTTGATCTTGAAGCTATAAATTTACTGAAATGCCCATCTTCCTTCGATATACCTAAGAGTACAATACAAAGGCCGAAGTTTATTCGAGTTTAGCTAGCGAATGATAAGGTAACAAATATTGCAATTTAGATAGGGCTTCCCATATCTTGTAAAGTGATTCAAATTGAAACTTTGTTCTCATTTCAGTAAAAGCACATTTACTGTTGGAGTTTTGATGATAATAAGTTACACACAGCACTTATGAGTGGCCGTAGGGATTATTCCCGAGGGGACGACCATCGGCAAAAGACAATTCTTTGTGACGGTGTATCAGCCCCTAAAAATGTTCCTCAGTAGACTGTTCTGAAAATACCCAAAGTTAAGCTAAAAATCTGAATATGCAAATTTCAATGGCCAGGGGACCACGGACCACCCCTGCTTCTGCGGGCGTCCATGGCTAACATGGCTAAATTACTAATACTACCTCAATAAACATATTTACAAAGTTAATCCAATTAATTAGCTACGTTTTCCAAAGAAAATACTTTTTTGCATTGAATAGCCACACTAAGCCACTGTGCATATGGGACAATGGCAAACATTATTCTTTCAAACAGAATGACACATGATGTCTTGGACAAATTGGTGAAGATCAAAGTACCTAATAAAACTTTGAGCTTCGCGAATGGTTGGTTATCGATATAATTAAGTATCTAAAGTTATGTCATTTATGAGAGAAGTCACGTCACACAAAAAAGCGAATATATGTCTGCGTTCATCAAAGTTGTCTCGTTAGCAGCTGCTGCCTGAACTACCTGATATGAGGCTTTCTGTAGAGATTTTTTTTTGTTTTATTCCACAATAAGTTCAATTGATTGCCTTACCTACAAATTTTGTAGTCTGAATCTAAGTAAAAATTTTATATTTATCAAAAAATGTCTTTATCTGTAAACTAACCTGCTTGGCTTAAAGCTAAAAGGATTGAAATATAAACAATATAGATGAAGTCGCCAATTTAATTACGTTTAATTTTTTATGGTCATGTGATGATGCTAATAGTGAAACCTGGAATTTCGGCCAAGTATTATAATAGAAAATGTTCAAATTGATTAAACTTTTGTGCCGAATTGCAGACAACAGTAATTCTATTCCACGGCTACATTAAGACAGCTTGATGGATTTTGACATATGAGGTATCGTTAGATTCGTCTTAGCGGGGCGAATGGCACTGAGTATATTAAGATTTCTTAAAACCGGAATGACGATTATAATCGAATATATATATTTCAGAGGGTACAGCTCAAACGGCTTTGATGGATTTTGAAATGCGTGGTCTCTCAAGATTCGACATGTCAGTACAATAAAACATTCATTCTTTCAGTTACTGTCAGATTTTTTGTATTTTTTTTTAAATGTAACTGTTGCAGTTAAAGGTTCTTGGGAAATGCCAGAATAGGTCAGTCGCTTTGAATTAAGTGTAAGATACTTACCTCCAAATCTGAGTCCAACATTGAGAAATTTCTTCAACAAGGTGAGATTGTCATCCGTGTAGAGAGAGGACAGGAATCTAACAGATCTAACTTTTATCTCCAAGGCTTCCATCGCCCAAGCAAATGCCCTACTTAACCATTCGACGATCATTGATGACATCATCGAAACAAAGGAAGGAGGAGTTTCCTGGACACCTGTATTCGAACCTTGGTAGTCAGATTGAGCAGATGCGTACGCCAGGATGACGACGAAGATCTGGAATAAAAAAGATTACAAATATATATATATATATATTTATATATATCGATTCCGTTCAACTATGCCCAAAAACGACTACTAATTTTCCAATAAAATTATTATTATCATTATTTTGATTAATTTTTGGCGAATGTAATTAAGAAATATTTGTTATCTCCATTAATTGTGCAATACTTATTTTATTGTTAGTTAAACAAAACTTATAATATGCTTATATATTTGTGTGTGATCCTTCAGGTCATTTTGGAAGATTGAGGTATATCTGCACAAGTCAGTACAGTGTTGAATTCGTTATATATATTTCGAACTTGCCAGATACGAAATATGCTATTGTTATGACAAAATTTGAAGAATCATGAACGCATCGATCCAATTTCCATGTACGAGAACTTTCTAACGTCTGTTGAACCTTCTCTCAACATAAGCTTGAAAAGTCTGTATGTTTTCAGGTATAATGAAAGAAACAATAGCCATCACCATAATACCTATAATTCTATAACAATAGATTTACATCAGATAACAGCAGGGATTGAATCTTTGATGAAGTGAAAGCTTTATTCACATTCAAATAATTTTTCAAAAAGTATATACTGTACTTTCAGCTCTTTTATACTTCACACAGTGGGACCAGAAAGTTTGGCCAAAGCTCCTAATGTGCTAATTAGTGGTGAACACTGTCTCATTAGGTTTTTCCATGTAATTATTGTTTGTATTGATGACACTGTTTTCTTGGTCATTTTCAATTTAGTGAGCTAGTTCTTTGCAATTGTTATAAATAATTCTGAAAAGAAAATTGTTCCTATTTGAGCATGCTTTTACACATGCTGAACGAGATAAATGTAATTCTCTAGAAAAAGAATATTTTTACGTAACTACATACTTCTATAATTAATAAACGTTCAATACTTTGTAGAAAAAACAACTAACTGTAAGATGAAGAAAATTTCTGAGGCGATGAATTCTGTATTTGCTTGCCTAAATATTTTAATGGGTTATATGGCCTAGTTAGACGAAATTGAAAATAAGCTTGAGTTACGAAAATCATAGTACTCGTGTATAAAGCACAAAGGCAATTATTAATAGTATATTACAGATGTATATTTTCATATATACGTGCTCAATCAGTAAGAAGAAATTAAACTTTTTAGTTCTCCATGATTCCACATTCATTGGATCAACTT